ATTTGCATTTTTAGGATATTTTGTATTTTTATTAAATTTAAATCCTAGTATTATCATAATCTGATCCCCGATTAGTCCTTATATATATATATATATTTTCTCTTGGACTTTAAAAATACAAAAATAGAAATTATTGTTGGGAGTGTGCCCTTGTCTTGATCGAAAGCTTAAATAGAATCATTCTCTCTTTGTGCATGTCGACATTTTTTATTCTGAATATTTTATGACATATACATATAAATATATATAATCAGTTGAGTGAGTGTTTGCATCAGTCACGGGACACTTTGCGTGTATTTGTTTATTTAAAAAAAAATCATTTTATTGATTGATCGATCAATTATTTAAATGGGTAGGATATAATAATAATAATAATAATAATAATAATAACCTATCTGATTTAGTTATTATTTTTTAATCTGCATTATTTTATGTCATACCGTCACCAGCTCATCAATATTCATGTATATTTTTGTAACATTTTACTACAACTTTAGATGTTTTATTTGTTTGTTTAGATAAATTATTTAAATGGTCAGTTCAATTTTTAAAATATTTATAATTTTGTCAAACAAAATTTTTATAATTAAGTCACTCTATTTTTAAAAATATTATCAATTTGGTCACCACATTAGAAAATCTTTATAATTAAGTCACTCTATGTTTAAACCCAGAATCTGATCATCCTCTAATGCACAATCAGTACATCTGATCTAGATATTTATTTACAAATTAACCATTTTGAGTTTTTTATTTTATTTTAAGAGTATAACTATAATTTTAAGTTAATAAATTAAGTGCTTTTTATTTTTTATAATCTTAATCTAATTAATAAATTCTGGTCATGCATTTTTTTCTTTCAATAAACATATGAATAAAGATAAACATAAAATAAATAAGGGTAAACTACATATTTAGTACGTAAAATATCAGTTTTGTCCATTTAATACATAAACTTTCAATTTTTTCAAAATCTGACATAACGTTTAGTTTTCATTTTAGTACCCTTGTTAAAAGCTTAACATGTTTAGTACCTAAACTATCAGTTTTGGTCCATTTTAGTACCTAAATTTTTATTTTTTTCAAAACTTAACGTTAAATTTTGAACAGGGTACTAAAATGAAACAAAAACTAAAGTTTTTAAAAGTGAAGTACTAAAATGAATAAAAAATTAAATTTTAGGTATGATTTAAAAAATAAAAAGTTTAAATACTAAAATAAACTAAAACTGATAGTTTAGTGAGTAGTTCTGTTGTACGACAGTCTAATATACGGCTAAGGAAAGGCACTACCGGAAATGTTATTAATTTTTCAACATTTTCGATAAAGCGTTACCTAAAACATTATTTGTTCTACCGGAAATATTAATTCCGCTAGCTAATTTCCGGTAGAAAAAAATAATAATTTAGGTAGCGCCCAATATTAACATTTTCGATAGAAAAAATAACGTTTAGGTAACGCCTAATATTAACATTCTAGTAGAAAAAATAATATTTTAAGTAGTGTTTTAACAAAAATAATAAAAAAAATAATAACTTTTTCAATAATACATTTTCTTTAACAATATATTAAACTGTTGTACCTAAAACTTCCCTTTATTATGGATCATTTATTTTTCATCGCAAATGTATCGCAAGACAACCTTAGGTGTCCATTTCTTATATTCTTTTTCTCCGATTTGTCTATTATGTTCCATTTATTGGTAAAGAGGGGTTAAGAATATTAATTAAATTAAAATTTAATCATATTTATTATTTGAAAATCGTTAATAAAATATAATTTTACAAAAATCTTAAGACAATATGTATTGTATTTATTTTTTAATATTTTCTAAAAGATAAATAAGTGTGTCATCATCTCAAGGTTGCTAATAAAAATGTTTTATTTCAACTGACAGATATAAAAGAACATTTTTTGGGTGTAACCATCAATATCCGATCTATTAATCAACTAAATTCTGATCGAGTACTGCAAATGTGAGGGCGACACTCCCAATTCAATTTGTTCCATTCGCAAATATTAATATTTGAATATCCAACCTTACTTAAAAGATCAAGTGCCTCATCTACTAAACTGATTATTATATATTATTATCAATGTATATTAATTATTTTTTAATGATTATCAATATTTAAATATTTTTATAATATTACAAATATAACATTAATACATTAATTATATTTTTATGTTATAAATAGTTTACTTGCAATTATGTAATAAATATTTTGGTTAGTTGTAAGAGTTGTGCATTAAAGTGTCTCAAGGGCTCGGTTCCTAAGGGGTCACTTGGTTCATAAAATGTAAGATTACTATTGAGAATAAGATTATCGGAATGTTACATTACTTAACATATTACATGGAATATTGTATTATCTTGTTTAGTTTATTTGGCATGAATGTAAAATTATAATGTTTGATTGATGAAATATAAGATAAGAAAAATATATGTTGTACCGATTTATCCTTGATGTATTTTTTTAATAAGTTCTTAATATTAAAGTCAAAATATTTACACTAAAGTTCATAAAAAATAAAATTTTATATTCTCTAATTTATATATATTCAATAAAATTTGTATGCAAATAACTTTATATATTTTTTATTTTTTTATTTCTTTAAAATACATTAACATACTTACACTAATATAAATATGTGTCTATTTTTAGGTATTAAGATATTGAGAGATGTACATACTTACATCGCTGTAAGTATATGCTAATTGCTAAGATAGTGAGAGATGTGTAAATATGTGTTAATTTCTAAGATATTAAGTACATAGGTGTAACTATGTGTTAATTGTTACGTTATTGAGAGATGAACATATGTTTACACCAGTTTACACCAGTTTACGTATTAATTGCTACACAATTTTATTTTATTTATATTACATGTATGAGTTGTACAACAAAATATTATATCAAAATATATAACAAGATTAATAAAAAACATAAAAATATAATATAAAAACTTTTTATAAAAATTAATCCTAAAAATCTAAACGTAATAAAATACATATAAAAAATAAAACGTGAATCAATCATATATATAATAAATACTCAAAATAAAAAATAAAATTAATATTTTTAATTTTTATTATATACATCATATTATTTTATATTATGTATTAAAAAATTTAGAATCACAACAAAAAATAATATATATATATATATATATATGCACACAAAGGAAGGATCATTTAGAAATAACCATATTATCTTAAGGTATTTTTGTGATAAATGGAGGGAATTGACAAATACCTAAAAAAAACAAGGGGAACGACATAATCAGGAAGAGCTTAAAAAGAGCTATCGTAGGTAAGGTTTTATTACCTCCCGGAGGAAATGCTCATAAATCAAACATGGGTATGTTGTTCCGACAAAAAAATATTTCCTGAATAATGATATTTTCTACGAACCAAATACTCATAACTATAAGGATTTTTGTTTGGGTGGTAAAATTACATGCATCTTAAATGTCTGCGTGGTAATTTAGGTAGTTTAATATATTATTTTATTTTGACATTGGTGACAAATATTGAATTTATGATTGAAGTCATGGCCACTAGAGTTCACAATCCATCCGATACCAATTAACCTAGATCTCATTTTTCATTTAATTTACTAGTGCAATTTCAAATTAGCAGATATATAAATGAACGAACCTAGATTGATATAATCTAATTACACAATAGATATACATATGGTTATTAAAATACATATGTTTTAAAAATAAATAAATAATTAAAAATATATATTTTTAATATGTTTATAAATAATTTACTAGCTGAAATTTTCTCTTTTTAATATGTTTTATTATTTTACTTGTCAACTAAAATAAAATATATATATTTTTTAAAATTAAATAAATAATTAAAAATAAAACATCGATAATAATAAAATAGTTTGAAGTCTTGAACTTACCTTTTTGTGGTAGTCATGCCTGTAATTCGATTTGCAGCATGCAGCTTGCAGCAATTGTAATCAATTTGCTGCATTCAATTTACAAATTTAGTTTGTCAGTATAAATAATTAAGATGATAGGTTGTTATTAGGATGGGCATGGGATCCGAACCCGACGGGTTTCGATTTGATCCGATCGAGTTATTTTTTTTAATTTGGGTTCCGGTCGGGTTGGGTCGGGTTTTTTAAAGGTGATATTCAGGTCGGGTTGGATTCAGGTTTAGGGTAAAAAAATACTTGACCCGACCCATAAAAAAAATATAATTTTACTTCATATATTTAAGAATAATTACAATATTTCCTCTTTATATATTATTTTTTCAATTAAATCATTATTTTTATTGAATAAAAATAATATTTTTATTATTTTTGGTCAGATCGAATTCAGATTTTATCTCAAAAAATCATGTTGGGTTCGAGTCGAGTGGAGAGTATATATTTTTCGATTGGATCAGGTCAGGTGAATGATGTAAAATTTTCAGGTTGGGTCGGGTTATTCCAAACCCGACCCATGCCCATCCCTAATTGTTATATATATATATATATAATAAATCAAACAAGAAAGAAAGATAAAAGAATGAATCTACTAAGTTAATATGAAATATAATTGCTTTAGAGAAAAATAATTAATTATACAATTAATTTTCAATTTTTACTAGGATTTGTATAGTTATCTTTAAAAATTATATTTATAATTTAATAACATTTAACCATAACCTTAACCATTAACCTTTTTTTTTAACAATTTGATTAACTGAAATCATTTAATCTTAACTATTCGATTAATTAACCTATAAAATGTGACGAATACACCGATTAACGGTTACAATTAACAATTACATGTTAATTTGCACACCCCTAGTCACAGTGTCGCCTATGTTAATTTAAATAAAAAAATTAATATCCAATGATCAAAATAGAAAAAGTATTCGTAATTAAATTTGCATAAAAACTAGTTTAGTGACCAAAGAAGAAAAATAGTAATAGTTGGATGACTAACAATATAGATTACTCCTGTAAAAACCCTATGTATATTTGAACCGGCAAGTGAAAAGCAAAAGTTTTTCCATTTCCTTCAATTGCCTCTTTGTAACAAAATCCACCAAAGGAAACGAACGATGAGCGCCGCTGCCGAAACCCGCAATTGGCTGGAACTGCCGCAGGACGTGACGGCGTCGATTCTCTCTCGGCTAGGTGCAATTGAGATCCTCAACAGTGCCCAAAACGTGTGCTCTCTGTGGCGAAAAATCTCCAAAGACCCATCAATGTGGAAATCCATTGACATGAGGAACTTGGGTGATTTATTTGACATGGAATATGACCTCGAGAAGATGTGCGTCCACGCCGTCAATCGCAGTTGCGGCCACTTGCTTGATATCAATATCGAATATTTTGGTACCGATGAACTTCTGTTTTATATCTCCGAGCGGTAAAGTTTCTTTACACATATAATCTCTGTTTTTTTTTTTGGGATTCTGCTAATCATTTATTGTCCTTCTTTAATGGTCAAACTCTGGCATTTCTTAGATTTAGGTTTCCTCCAACATTTTGGATTTTCTTTTTGCACTAATAGTCGATTTCCAACTTATTTATGCTCGTTGTTCTTAAGCAATTCATGCTTTGGCTTATAACATATTTTTCCTCGATGAACGTTCAATGGGTTCATAGTCTGGCTTTTAGCTTTCGGAGCTTCAACTGCAATTAATTGATGAATACTTTCAAAATGATATTTCAGCATAAACATTCAATAGAGAGATGGTTGTTTGGTTGCATTATACTTTTCAGTCACCTCTTATTTTCATTCTAAACTAAACTATGTATTTAATCACCCCAATTGTTTTGATTAGCTCAAAATCATATGCCTAAAGTTAATTACGTATTGATTTCATTTTATTCTTTGAACGCTGCTTTTCACAGGTCTACTCATCTCAAGCGTCTTAGACTGTTTTCGTGCTATTCCATTTCAGACGAAGGGTTAAGCGAAGCAGCTTCAAAACTTCCGTTTCTGGAAGAGCTTGAAATTTTCATATGTCCTGTTTCGAAAGACGCCCTGGAAACTATAGGTCGCAATTGCCCTCTCTTGAAATCGTTCAAATACAATCTTCAGCAACACAAAAGCTTCCACTATGCATCTGATGATGAGGCACTAGCTATTGCACAAACAATGCCTGAATTACGCCGTCTCCAAGTTTTGGGGAATGACTTGACAAATGAAGGTTTGCAGGCCATTCTCGACGGTTGTCCTCACCTTGAATATCTCGATTTGCGTCAATGCTTCAATGTTCATCTAGGGGGGAACTTGGAGAAAACATGTGTCAAACGCGTAAAGAACTTACTTCGTCCTTATGATTCGACTCATGATTATGAGTTCTATGCGGGAGTTCACGATACTGAGTCATCGGATGAAGATTATCATCTGTATGGAATTTCAGATGACGACATGTTGGCCAATGGTTATGATGATTATCTTGCGTTTCCAGGTGCCAGTGACTTCTCTGATTATGATGATTATATGTCTGGAAATCTAGATATCGCCTTATTGACCGCAGGTCTCAGCGACTTTTCTGATGCTGATGAGTAAGTTCTTGACTGATGCTAGGAAATCAGGTTATGAAAGCAGGCTGCTTTAATCCCTAGTAAATTTTGGACATTTTCTCTGTTTTTTTGTTTAACTATTACATTTGCAAGCCTACCAATGTTGGAGCATTCTCTGCTTGAAACTTGAACTCGCCTCTAAAATGATTTGGTCAGCCTCAAAACAATTTTAGCCTTGTTCCGCGCACCACTTATGCATACTGTGGTGCTTTTAATAATAGAGAATTCTGTTTTAGAAAAACAATAGATGCTGCCAGAAAAACTTCATTGAGGTATAAACGTATGTGAATAATTGGAATCCTGAAAACGACAGGAGAAATCCTGAAAACGAATTAATTTGCTTTGATTTCCACAAGTTTTTCTAGTAGTTTCAGATTTGTTTTTGGAAAGGTAGAAGAAAAGTATGTCTTAAGATTGTTGTAGTATAACAATCTGAGATGAAAATTATAAAATAAAATAAAATTTTATTAATAAAGGAGAAGATATAGTTTAAAGTAAAGAACCTTAATAACAAACTAGAAATTAGTTGATGTCTGTAATTGCATAGTTTCCTTAAGACAGATTTTCGATCACTCCTTGGTGCTCGAGATCTTTTGGTCATCTGTCTCTAATGATACAACAACGATATGATCAGCACACAGTAACACAACTTGCGAGATCACGAACTATTTCTTGCTAGAGTTTATCATCGAAAACAGAGAAGAAGAAAAGAGATTTTTGAGTTGTGTAAAACTTAGTAAGTTTACACGGTGTTTATAGTGTTTCACATAGGAGAAGAATTGAAAACAATATATTTTGAAAAGTAGGACTATTAATGAGTATCCAAATAAAATCAGAAATAATAAATTAATACCGCTTTAATTAGAATATATTCGTGAACTATAAGGCATAACATATTAACATTTGAATTAAGAGGAAATCATATAATATCTTTTTTTTTAATTCAGAATATTGAAAAATATATGTCATATTTAAGGAAAATATTTAATTTGTAGTGGGTAAAATATCCACAATCTCCTATAAAACCTAAACAATATAAACATTCAAGTTATCCTTAGTAGGTGGGCCAGAAATTTTTTTTAACTCAATTCATTTAATAAATAATTAGATGGTTTATGTATATAAAACATTTCCTTGATTAATATCCCACCAATGTGGGATATGAGTTTTCTCATTTTCCTTACACAACACAATTTGCATGTACCTTACTTTGAGTATTAATTTCTTATTCATCATTTAACCGTTTTAAGCATATGAGATACCGTTATAAAGATCTCACAAAATGGATTATGAATTAGTAAATTCATTATTCGATTCTCCATTTTTACACTTAGAAAATATTCCTCAAAGTATTTTTTTATATTTTTGTTTCAAACATGTAGTCATATTCCATTCCCTTGATTTTTTTTTTCTTTCAAAAGGGCAGGTGGGATATTTGCAGTTATTACTGCCAAAACTGAACTAGAATATCCCACCCAACAAAAGAACTCCACAGCAGTTTGACAAGTGCCCAAGATTCAGATAATGAGATAGTTGGGTCATCTTATCATTGATAAATTTAGCAAGATTGACCTTCCTCTTGGAGTGTTTGGGTTGCTAAATGAAACATAAAATATTAGGTTTACCGGCAGAATAAGCAAGCAGTAGCTGACCAACACCATCACGTTTATTGTTTTAAGGTTTAAGTTTGCCACTACGAGGAAATAGAGCTGGACCTACTTTCCTAAACCAAACATTTCTATTTTCAAGTTAATTGGTGCGGTTGTTAAGAAGACGATTCTGGGTGGCCATGGGAAATAAACAACCATATCCTATATATTTTCATCTGTTCGATTTAATAGAATCATATATTTTTATAAAATTAATTAGGTCGAATTTTAGTTTAGATAAAACTCGCTATATATTCTTCCGGAATAATTTGTGCACTCTTAACTCCAGACATTGACTGAACAAAGAAAAAACTTCTGGAAATAGAGCTTGAAAAGAACATATGTTTCACTTAATTAACTGCTCCAACGATATTGGAAGGAGGAGTTTACCCAGCCCAACCCAGCCCAAACCACGTTCATGCTTCTTATTGGCTATCACATCAAATTACTTGAATGCCCTTCCGATGGAGTAATTTCTTTTCCTTCAAATGTCCAGACTAATGGGAACCTCGTTATCAACAATTTGAAATTACAAGTTCTACAATCAAAATAAGTGTTAATTGAGGGGAAAGGCTAAAAAGGGTAAATTGGAGTCGCAAACCAAGTCAAATCCTAAACACGAAACGCCGTCGTTTGATACAATTCTCCAACTCAAAAACAGAGAATTCTACGCGCTCTAACAAGAAAGCAAGTGGTAACCCTACGCCAAAAGCTCCTATATATCGCTCGTCTCCCCCAATATTTTTCCCAACGTAAACACTCAGTAGTTAACTTGCAGGTTAAAAGTTGGAGCTCAAAACCCTGCTTCATCTGTCTTTCCTTGTCTGTTTCAGACAATGGCGGTTGCCGCCTTCGAGGATATTGAGGTTGTCTCCGAAGAACCAATATCATGGCTGCCTTCTCATGTTGTCGATGAACCAATATCAGAAACAAATAAAGAAAAGGTCTTTCTTCTTTCAGTCTCATCCAATCCTTACTCTTCTATAAAAAATAATATATATTATTGATTTGTTGTTGTTGATTTATAGGATGATGTTAAGTACCATTATCATCGCCATCGTTCAAAGCTTCCTACCGAGCCTTCCTCACCGGTACTAATGCATCAATATTTGCTTTTTCTTTCTCTCGTTTGCGTTTCCATTTCTAAACGATGATGATTCTCTGTGAAAGTTTAAAGTTTTCTCATATCTGTTTCATTTCCGCCTATATTCTTGAGAAATATAAGTTGGTATTTGCTGGGATTTAATTTAGATGACTAAATTCTCGGAAAATTTCAAGAACCCGTGAATTTAAGTATTATTCAAAATATTTTTAACAATAAACTTACATTTATTTTTTAAATATAATAAATTAAGTTTGACATATAAATATGCTAGAATATAGTAGAATTTATAGTCTAGTAAGAAATAGAGAGCAAATTATTTATTAAAATGTTTAAAGATCATAAAAGTAAATAGGATGATAAGTAGTTTACAGTCTATTTCTTACTAGATTTGTATTTGAAACAGTAATGATTATTATTATATATGAACAGAAGCCAAAGAGTAGGTGGAGAAGGCATGACGAGAAACCAAGAGACCGGGGCCACTGGGCACCGGGAGGAGGAGGTGGAATGCAGGCGTTTTTCCTTCATTCCGGTAATAAATCAACAGGGACAGGCGTTTTCCTTCCTCAAACTCAGTACAATAACAATTTTCACTCATCCAGACGACCACCTTGCTCTCCGGTTCTACTCCCTTCCCGGGTTGTTCAAGCTCTCAACCTCAATGTTCACCAATTAGGCCTCCAAATCTCTCCTCGCACAGGTTTACCTCACTTTTAACTGTTCCTTCTTCTTCTTTAAAATAAAACTCATTCTTTTTCTTGCAGATACCAAGAATAATAATACGAGTGCAAGAGGTGGAGAGTGGAATTCATTCAATAATAAAAATGGTAAGGATGCATCACCCAAACGTTGCGTTAGTGGAAATGAAAATTCTTCGGCGGCAGACATACTTCTTCCCGATGAATGGACTTACTAAGTTCATCTGCAACACGGAGACTTGTATTTGTAAAGCTGCTACATTCACGTATTGTTCCAAGGGTTTTACTTTTACCCCCCTTTTTTTAGTGAAAGAAGTCATGTCATTGAGTTGTTTGTATGGTCTTCTACCACTAAGGTTTTCCCTGCATCATCTTGTGTTTGTAAAACTACATCTCTAATGGAGAAAATCATATACAAGCAATGCCAAAGTTTGTTTCCATCCAACAAACTAATAATATCATATCATTCATGCCACAAATTTTAACATGCCTTCTAAGATCAGGTTAGTTAAATTATCATTCTTAAACGATGATTAAATTCAAAACATTTAATGTTGAGACTTAAAATTAAGTTTAAATAATAAGATTGATAAATTAAAAGATATATTTTTTTACAAGAATATATCAATAATTCTGTATGTACTCGATTAGATTCATACTAACTCAACCCGAATTGAATTAAAGATCCAAGGATTGACCCAAACTGAAAATTGAATGATCTGATCTTGACTCGACTAAAAATTTAAACACTATGATATTGACCTAACTTGAAAATCGATTAGTACAATATTGACCTAACTCAATATCCACCGAAGGATCCATATTTGAGTTTGAGTGGGTAAGTGACCACATTGAAATTCGAATTTTCTTTTATATTTATTCATTTTACTAATTGTGTCCACCCTAAGATTTTATGTGTGTCTACCCAGGGCCGACTATTAGGGAGTGCATCCTGAGCGACTGCTCAAGGCTCCCATCTTTTATAGGTCCCCTAATTTTTCTATTGTTTTTTTATTTTTATAATTGAATCCTTTATTTTTTTTCAATTTTATTTTTTATTTTTATAATTGAATCCCCTAATTTTTATAGTCCTACTTTTTATCTTTATAATTGAAGTTTTATTTTTTCAATCCTATTTTTTTACATTTATAATTGATTAACCTAAGTTTGTCAATCTCACTTTGTACATTTATAATTGAGCTCCTAATTTTTTTAATATCACTTTATCCTTTTTATAATTGAAGCTCATAATCTTTAATCTCATTTTTTATCTTTATAATTGAGGCCCCTAATTTTTCAATCCCACTTTTTACTTATATTGTTTAGGCCTTAACTTTTTTCAATCCCATTTTTTTAATTTATAATTTATGATCCTAAGTTTTTCAATCTCACCTTATACCTATATAATTGAATTCCTAATTTTTTAATATCGTTTTATATCTTTATAATTGAGTCTCCTATTTTTTTTTTAATAAATAAAGAGACCAGGCTTTTACAATTCAAGTCGCTTCTTTGTCAACTAGAATCGCTAATTCCCTCGGAGGATAACGAAAAGTAATTGTCCATATTTCTTTACCTCTCGCTAAAGCAGCAAGCCTATCTGCTACATTGTTTGCTTCCCAATGAATATGGCAAATCCTCACTTCCCAATCTCGCTGTAACATATTACGAATCAAGTTCACCACTGCACCACTGTCAGCAGCCCTGTTATTATTCTTGAGCGTCTCCACTGCTGTAGCACAGTCTGTTTCCAGTTCAATATTCCTAAACCCCAAAATCCATGCATGAGCTAGCGATTCATGAATAGCCCACAATTCCGCCATTAAAGTCGAGCAGATACCCAAGCTTCGAACGAAGCCGAATATCCATCTACATTGTTCATCTCGTAGTATTCCCCCTACAGCAGCCATCTTCAACGGTCCCCCTACCGCTCTATCAGTGTTCACCTTTACCCAGTTTCTAGCTGGTTTGCACCATCGAATCTCAGTCCTTGCGTTGCTGCATCTGTCTGATCCAGTTTCCTCACATGCCACCATATCGTCTTTAAAACAATACTCTGCACCGCCAGATCATCATGAGCAATATAGTTCGGTTGAAACAGTACATTGCACCTGTGCTTCCAAATTCTCCAGCAAACAATAGCAAAGAGAACATTCCAGTTTTTGTCTTCAATGGCGAATTGACCATGGCCCTTCAAGTTTGTCATAAGCCATTCTCCAAGGGGCATGGAAAAAAAGCTCTGGAGTCTGTCTCCGTGAATTAAGCTGCGCGAAATACCAATGGTAAATGAGCATCGACGAAACACATGAATTAAATCCTCATCCTCGACATTACACAGCGAGCACCGAGCCGAATTTGCAATCTGTCTACGTTGTCGTTCCAAATTTGTCAGGAGTTTGCCATGGAGGGATAGCCATAGAAAAGTTTTAACCCGTTGTAGAATATTTAATCGCCACATTATTCTCCAGCACTCATCCCTCTCATCAGTTATTCTTGGAGATAGTATTCGGTAGGCTGAACGAACCGAAAAAATGTGATTCGATTCCTCCTGCCAAACCGGAGTATCGTTTCCCAGTTCTGGCCGTGGGGATATATAGCAGCTATGCGAAAGCATATATGCATAGGGATGCAAGCTTTCAGCCTCTCCCAATCCCATTCTCCAGTCGAGGTTGTCATATCACACACAGGTACCGGTTGTGAGAATGCTGTCATGGAGGAGATGACCGAATGAAGTTTTTTATTGATGGTCAATTAATACTCTGCATTACACCAGCTTATATAATAGATGTGCCTTCAAGTTTACTCTACTTCTATAACAGATTCAAAACAGACTCCAATATTCATAACAAACTTTAACAGCTCACTCACACACACAATGCTCATATTAGGAGCATATGCACACATTGCATATTCTAGAATACAATCGTGTATTCTAGATACTCTAATATTCTCCCTATTCTTTTCCTTCTCCTTGAGCAAATGAGAAAACCTACACTTTGGGTTGAAATTGCGCAAATGAAGATTTGGACAATGATTTAGTAAACCATTTGTTCTAGTTGAATTGGAAGTGCGATGCTTCTTTCCGTTCGATTTGAATCGGAAGTGCCGATGCTTCCTTCCGTTCGATTTGAATCGGAAGTGACGATGCTTCCTTCCGTTCGATTTAAATCGGAAGTGCCGATGCTTCCTTCCGTTCGACTAGAAACGCGGACACAAATTGTATGATAGCTGAGACAGTGATGAAGTCTGGCCTAAATCCTTCCCCCAACATGCAATTTAAATGTCCCCGAAACTGAGCATCATATCCACACTCTGCAAATGCATCAAGAATAGAATTCCTTGAAACCAAGTCTCTCCAAGGAATCATCAGAAATGTCTGATATGCGGCTCCTATGTCATTGCATTTTGCATAAAAACTAACAAGGGCATTTGACACCGGTGTAATTACATATAATCAAGAATGCTGAAGAATATACCCGTGGATCATTTTTCCAACCTGGAGATCCTTTAAGTGTGCACAGGCAGAAAGAACACTAACAAGAGTCGTAGAATTCGGTTCAAACATATTTGCAGAAATTAACTCCTGAAACAAATCCATTGGCACACATAAAAACTCATTCAGACATTTTGTCAAATAACTTACGAGCAGCAAATGCTCAACTCTAACTTGTCCCTTCTGTAATCCAGGACAAACCAAAACCAAAGACCCGGACCCCTGAGAGGCAGCGCAGAGTCCCTTTGGTTTCGCGATAATCTCAATCTGGTGCAAAACCTTCAAATCAGCAAAATTATAGACGAATATCTTTTGTTCCAAAACGATTACGATTCGATTTCTCCGGAGTCGAACTGATCTCACTTCAGAACGGAACGAAAGCTCCTCGATGCATCGATTCTGGTGGTCATCCCAGATCATAACTCTAGTCGGCGCACCGCCAACGAGAGTCAAAATATTATACCGAAAAAACATCTCCACGACTCCAATATTGCTAGCTATAACGAACGAAAACCAGACCAAGCAAGAATGTAGAAGAACCTCATAACGGTACATCAGAGGAAGTACTAGGCGTAGATGACTTAACATAACAGCGATGACAAAATATCTGAACACCGCAACGATGATAGCGGAAGGCATAGCAGTGAGCGAGACTCTGATCTCGTTCAGTAAACGATGACAGAATGAAGAATGGAAACAACGGAAGAAGAAAAATGACGTCAGGATGTTTGGCGAATGATACCATGTGAGAATGCTGCCATGGAGGAGATGACCGAATAAAGTTTTTTACTGATGGTCAACTAATACTCTGCATTACACCAGCTTATATAATAGATGTGCCTTCAAGTTTACTCTACTTCTATAACAGATTCAAAACAGACTCCAACATTCATAACAAACTTTAACAGCTCACTCACACACACAATGCTCATATTAGGAGCATATGCACACATTGCATATTCTAGAATACAATCGTGTATTCTAGATACTCTAATAGTCTCCCAGTCTACTTAGGATTTTTCCCCGTGTCTCCATTAGAGCCCCACTCAAATCTTCTAATCAACTTTTCCAGCTAATTACAGACCCCCTTTGGCAACCAAGTTGACTGCATCGCATAGTAGGGAATCGCCTGCAAAACGGACTTAGCAAGAGTAATACAACCAACTAGAGATAAGAGTCTTTGCCGCCCAGTCAGCTAACCCTTTTCCCACTTTTTCAAGAAGCAGAGACATGAGTCAATGAATCCAAAAAAAAAAATGAAAATGTTAGCCTGCAAAACGACGTCATTATTGCTGCATAACTTTTAAAACTTTATCTCCTTCATCAGTTCTTCATTCTCATTGAAGTCATTTAAATCTTGCATAAATTTTCATTTTTCTTTTTTTATTGATTGGCATTGACTTGAAACATAATTCACATCTATTATTTGATTTTGAATATCTTTTGTCTGAATTGATGATTTTTGTCGACACTCTCATTCTCATTTATAGTCTCTTTTTTGTTCATTGAACCTGTCACTGCTCTCTCTCTGATCTGAGCTTTGTTAGTTTACTTTATCTTTCTATCAGCAGCTATAATTAAAAGGTATTTCTACATTTTTTTAGTTGAAAAACGTTAGAGATGAAGAAGGAGAAGAAGACTTTTTTTTGTTGAAGAAAAGCTCAATTGACTATTTAAAGCATCAAAGATGACAATGTCAGAAATACAGCTAGGAAAATCTGAAACAAGCCAACAAGGCAACGAACAAGAAAATGCCCATTGGGCTAAAGAGTGAGCAGCAAAGTTTGCAGATTTTCCGGTAAACACAACTTTGAAATGCGGGTGTCTAACAAGAATCTTGCGGGCTTTCAGGAGATGAAAAGCAACAATAGAAAGGTCAAGACCAGGATTGGCAAGCTTGTAGATGATAGAGAGTGCATCAACTTCAATGATAACATCCGGCCACCTATTCTCATCAGCAAGTAGGATACCCTCTAGAAAAGCTCTAGCTTCCACTAGATCAACAGAGTGAAGGTCAGACAAACGTCGAGCATGGCTTCCAATGACAAGGCCGTGATGATCTCGAACTAGAACTCCAATGGTAGCTTCTCGGGAGTCCGCTCTCCACGCACCATCCACATTAATTTTAACAGAACCGTGAGGTGGCTTCTGCCGAACAGCTATCTTAGGATCCGCACATGGAATACCACGAGAGCAAACAGATTTAAAATTTGATAGGAGGATGAGAGTATTATCATGCAAATGCTTGGCGTTAAGCAAAACCTGTTCATGCATCCATTCATTCCTACGATTCCAAATGGACCACAATAATGCAAGACAACGAGCAAAGGTCTCCATATCCATAAACCCGATCAAAGTTTCAAACCAGTCTTTACAGGAGGTTTGTGAGGAGTCTAAAACCCTTCTGTCCCGATCAGAAAAGAGGAGAACCTCCATAGCACTAAGGCAATCACGGAGAGCGTGCCTTGCTGATTCAACAGCAGCGTTACACATTTTACATTGGCTATCACCAAGGCCGGCATCATTCAATTTCAGACCAACAGGAATTGCATTGTTGCAGATTCTCCACCCGAAAATCCTGATTTTAGGAAGAACAGGAGCTTTAGCAATAACAGTCCAGATGTTTCCATGCAAATTCCTTTTAACCAACCAGTAATAAGCAGAGCGAGTGGAATAGACTCCAGTAGAATGATTTTTCCAAATTAAGATATCGTCATCAACAAGGGCTATAGGACAATTAAGAATTTTCCTAGCATCAGAACGGCAGAACACATGTTTAACTTTACAAGTATCCCAATTGGGAAAATTCTGAAGCATAAAATCGCCACAAAGGCTGGGGCTTTCAGGGCTATCCAAGTAGAGACCTTCCAAATGAATTTTTGAAAAACCACCCCATGAGTCGAAGTGCAGTCTGACTTTGCTCCTTTGACTAACTCTCCAGTAATAGCCTTCTTTAAAAACTTATTTTGCTTTAAAAATACAGTTCCAAAAAAGAGAGGTTTTATCACCCTGATTAGCTTCAAGAATATTCCTATGAGGGAAATATTTGGCAGCAAGGACTTTGAAACATAAGAGTGTTCTTGTTGTGGATGAACCTCCAAACTTGTTTTTCAACAAGGGCCAGATTAAAATGTTTCAAGTCCCTAAAACCAAGGTCACCATCCCTTTTTGAACAACAAAGCTTAGACCAAGCAACAAAAGCCCAGCCTCTTTCATTTGCACGCCCTGACCACCAATATGCTCTCATACAAGAAATAATACAATTAACAATACTATCACGCAAGATGAAACAGGTCATAGCGTAGGTAGAGGGAGCTTGTGCCACTGCTTTTAGAAAAAACTTCTCTACCTCCATAAGACAAAAGGTTCTTGGTCCAACTTCTAACCCTCTGCACAACACGAACCAAAAGCGTTGGATTTATTTTTTCCAATAAGGAGAGGCACAACAAGATAATGACCAGGTGTCGAAACAACATTCATGCACAAAATATTAGGAAAAGAAACTTGAAGTTGATCACTCGTGCCTTTGCTGAATAGAATGCAGTATTTCTCGAAGTTCACCTTTTGACCCGACGCCGATTCATAAATGGTAAGAACATTCTTGTGGTACTGAGCTTCTTGATTCGAGTTTTTGATGAAAAGTGAACAATCATCAGCATAAAGGAGATGATCAACTCTAGGGTCGTGTCTGCTAACTCTGATTTCTTGAATGTGACCCGCATTCTACTCCGCCGGTAGTAAAGAAGATAAGTCCCGTGTGCAAAATAAGAATAAGAAAGAGGAAAAGGGATCGCCTTTTCTAATCATCCTCATCGGTCTAAAAGGGTCTGAAAGTTTTTCATTAACACGAATGTAATAAGTCACGGAAGAAATGCATCTCATAATTAAATCCACCCATGGCAAGGAAAAACTCGTTTTAAGCATTCCATCTCTAAGGAAGTTCCACTCCAACCCTATGGAAAGATTTCTTCATGTCTAATTAACCAAACCACCTCAGTTTCCACCATTTTTACTTTATCAAATACATCTCTTTTAAAAAAAAAAATTAAAATTTTAACCATCAATCATTTTATTTTTTAATTCCTATTTTTTAGTATCTTTTTTCAAAAAAAATGTCCAATATATTTATGCCATGTGACACTTCTGATCAACATATGACTTCAATGGAAAAGAGTAAATAACATATCAAGTCTCTGAGGTTTTCTTTTTATTCAGTTTAGTCTTTAAGTACTTTATTTAATATTCTTTTAATAAATCTGAGATAAAAACAAGATAATATATGTTCAAACACTCTCAATTAATTGACAATGAACACGCATACTCATGCCAGTCTCGAACCTGAAATCTCTATTGATAATAACAAGTCCCCGTTTGGTTCGTGCATTTAGGGTAAAATATACCCTTGACTACTTAACTATGAGGGATTCTTATATGAACATCAATCTTTCAATTTTGTCAATCAAACCACTTGATTATTTAAGTAACGTTAGTCAACTTTTGTTAATATTTTACGAATGGGCTAACACGACAGTTAACAAAATTAGTATAATTACACATTTGATCCTCATCATTTACATATTATATCAATTTGATTATAATTTTAATTTTTTCGATAAATTTAATTCCTAACCAGATTATTACACAAATCAAGAATTAGTTCAAACTCAAGCCAATTGAAGAGTTTGGGTGGGAGCACCTAAATCACTAAAACAAATATAATTAAATATATTTCATATATATTTCTAAACTGTAACTAGTACAAGATTTAAAGTAAAAATGAGTTAACACATCATCATCATTTTATCAATAATAAAAAAATATGTTATGAATTTAAAGTTATTAATAACATTCTAAAATTAAAAAGATCAAATTATATCAAAAATAAAATAAATTATGTTCATTAATTGACTGAATCATATCTCACATTATGTAAGATTGAACGTGCCATTTACCTTTCTATCCATTTTCTATTGTTTTTCAAAATTTTGTCTCTTCCTCCATCTTTTTTTAAATTATTTTCTCATCTTGAAACCAATATTTCTTATTTCATTTCAACTAAAGCAAGGAAACGAAGAAAGGTATAGCATAAATTAACTGCAAAATTGACATATTTAAAAATTAACCAATTATTATGGCTGATCTCCCAGCTTCTCTTCTTCTTTCTCTTTTCCAAAAGCAGCAAAGGAAAATTACTCAAAAATTAGATTATCGGCTCAGCTATTACTACTATATCAAATCAACATGCCCTGAATCTCACGTTTTCATGATCAATCTAAAGTCCAAACCAAGCTAAATCTCGCACACAATAGCAAAATACCAATACAATTCCTTCAGTATTCGTAAGAAAACCAACAAATTATCCCAAAATCATCGCCGTCTTGGCATCCAGCAGTCCCAAAAAACAAGGCATCATATTTAACGGCCTCGACCACGTCCACGTCCACGGCCACGACCCCGACCACGTCCCAAAGGCCTCCCTGAATTTGGAAATGCGTTAGAGAGATCGGTATTACAAGCAAACAAGCATATACAAGTAAGACCCAAAACAGGAGAAATCAGCCGGAGTGCATTACCAGCTGTTGGCTTCTTAGGTTTCACCCTAGGAGTCTCTTCAACCAACAATGTTTCGAGATTTAAGCTGTCAGGCAGGATATAGTAGCGAATACTGTTACCCCGCACACTAAGGTGATCCAAAGTCACGGGATTTTTCCCCTTCAACGTGAGTTTCACTGTCTTTAGATGGGTGTTCATACTGACATCCACACCTAAAAGAAATACAGCAATCAAACAGTCTGGAAACTTGCATTGCATGCCAACATGTGTATGCTCTATAGGCACTAAAAAAGTTTAATAGAGAAACATGCCTCAACCTTTAATAAACAAAGAAACTATGCCATCGAAATTTAATAGCATGCAAACAAACATGTAATATTTTCTTTTGCGGGACATACAACTACAAACTTTTGAAATGAACAAGTTCAATTGATTTGACTGGCAAGTAGTTGTCATTATCTAGCACGGCTGTATATGTGTGGTAAGGTAACATGGAAAACAATAGACATATGTGTTAATGTTGTGGAAAAATATCGACATAGTATGACTGATGTGCCATTTACGAGACCCTGCTTCTTTCTTCTTTCTTGTTCCCCGGTACCTTTTTCTTCTATTTTCCTTTTTTGTTCCACTAACCTAACATCCTTTCTTTTCTTCTAATTTTACCATTTTTTGAATCTAGCCCACACAATTTTTGAATTCCGGCCACCAAAATCAGGCTGCTGTCTTACTATAGGGTGTAGCTAACGGATTGCTAGTCCATTACTAAACTCGGTGCGATATCAAGGAACTACGATAATGATTAAACCATAAAACAAGCTAATGAGCCATGGACCCGTAGTATGTCCAACTGCAATTCACCTTAAAAGATAATATCATGTGTACGCACAACACCTAAATTTATCCCCTCTTTCAAAGATAGCAATTTAACCAAAATACCAGCTACAAAATGCACAATTGAGATGGGAATTATGATTATAGTTGCCATCACTCATTAAAAACAAATAAAACAGAGAAAACAACACGTTCAAGGCCTATGGCACATTGCAATATTTTAAAAAAAAATATTAAGCTCTCAAAACTTCGCCAAACTGAGGGTTAGGGTTTAGATAAACCCCAACTGTGGTGAAATGGGATAGGAGAGGGGAAAGAGGTGGAACCTGTGATGGTACCGTGAACAACGGTTCCATTCTTGAGCTCAATCGACACCGTTTCATTGTTCAACTTCATCAAAAACCTGCTTATCATATTTCAAACCATGTTATTAAGATTCTAAAATTGATTTTCTTTCTTTCTAGACATTCACTTTAAAAACAAAATGAAAGGGAACCAAATTTTCATAATAATAAAAAAGATGAAAACTGAACAAAACTGACCTGACGAGCTTCATGTTGAGGAGAGGTAGGGGTTGAAGCAAAAGGCGAGCGAGCAAGGCAGCCGGAGAGAGAAGGACCTGTTTTGCTGCCAGGCTTGCTCTGGACTTCGGATTTAGGCTCGGGCCACTGCTAAGAGGCCTTTTTAATTTTTTTGAGTTTACTGGTGACGACGTCGTATTTTTGTTGTTAAATAGTTGGGCCTTTGCCCTCATTTTAATTGAGCTACAACCCATCTTAATACCTTTATTTACTATTTATAATGATCCCAACTTCACGTGCTATTAGATAAATTGAAACAATTAGCTATAACTGGGTCTTTCTTCATCTTTGATTCGATTGATAGGCGGCGACATTAACTTTGTGTTTGTTGTTATTGTTAATATTTTTTGTTTTCTTTTCATTTTTATATTCTATCTTTGTGTTGGTTGGTTGTTGTTGGTATTTTTTTTGTTTTCTTTTCATTTATATTATATCTTTAATTTTTCTTTTTAGTTTTTTAACAATTATAATTTTATAGTACGTCTTGTGTTCCCGATATCGGATTGTTAGAAAATTAAGAGACAATCGGTTGTAACTCCAAAATATATGTCGACCAAATAACATCATGATCTCATTCAAAAAGTGGTTGCAAGTCTGGTGCTATTATGTTCTTCTTTTCCTAAGCTTGATCGTGTGGATCAATTAGAAGTATTAGTCAATCTTCTTTTGATTTGAGCCTTATGATGCATGTATCAAAGAGGGTTTGAAAATATTTTCAGTACTATATTCTTGAATCTTTCAATTTGGACCTGAATTACTTTCAACTTATGTTGTGATAATCCAAGTGGATGTGGAAAGACGGATGAGTGGGTTTCCTTGAATTTTTCAGTCTCTATGTGGGCTTATATTCCTTTGTTGATGAAGGCATGGACTATAGTATGGAGCTTGTCCTTTAGAAGTTTGGTATAGTTTCTTGTAACTGGGTCAAGTGGAAGAGTTAGTCCATCTTCCTTAGGGTTGTGACGTATGGTGCATGTATCAGTACCTACTTCAATCTCCTTCGCAAGATTGATCTATACACATCATTTTCAAAATTCAAGTCCTCCGAAAAAATAACTTCGGAGGAAGGACCTCGAACGTCTAACCCCTTAAGAAGTTATGGCCTCTTGACATTACCTTTGATAGAATCACATGACATGACAAAACTAATTATTTTTTCAATCGATCATACCCACTAAGTATATCAATGTACGAGTAGCCATAATGATTCTGCACCTGACATCAACACTAAGTGTCACTATAAAACTTCTTGATCAAGATTAAGAAAAAAATATGAAACTCTTTTCTTCATTAATCTCCCCTCTACCTCCTTATGAAGATAGAGAACTTTAATAGCAGTTAACAATTGCCTAACTACCTATTGCAGTTCTCTATTCAAACACAAAAGAGTAAAATCGTTTATAGCTATAGTAACACATTATCAACAATAATTAATTTTAAAACCTAGTTTTCTCTCATTAGTATGTTGTTTATCCCTTTTATTTTTCGTTTTTGTTGATAAATTGTAACACCAATTTTAATGTTGATTTTCGATCGTTGGTATTCTTTATTGTTCATTTATTTTCTATAAGTCTGGATGTATAACACATTTTTATATGTGTTTATGACACGTTTTTTGTCTGTTTGATCGTTGTTTTTATGTATCTTTTTCTAAGGGTTGATTTGACATCGTCACGATAAATTATGATGATGTTTATGTATTATCTTATTTTAGACCCTCATATTAGATTTAGATACCTGATAGTTTTTATTTCAATGATTAAGAAATTTTTCTAATTATATACTTAATTTACGATAATGATTATAAATATTTATTTTAATTTAAAATATTTTTTAAATAAAGTTAGCTGCTTCCGTAAAAAAAATCTCGTAATCTTATTTCATTTTGTATGCATGGTTTACCATAAAAATAGAAAAGTTAAAATTTAAATTATTTAATATTAAATTGAAAATTTTGTTATATAATATTTAATATTAATTAATTAACCGTAATTATATTAAAAATGACCACTAATGTTATATAAAATTTCGTTACATATATTTCAACCAAAAACCGACTTAATTGAGGTTGAATTATAAGAGAACGCGAATAGGTCGACCATAGGACCCTCCACGAGCAAACCAAAGTTAAAAAATAATTTATTTGTTTAAGAAAATGTGAAATGATGGCATGTCTTGTAGAGTAATAATTGCCCCACAACCAGCAACCCAGCACCGAACCACATCACTAAAACAAATAATTGATCATTTACATTTAAGGACTTTACACGTGTCATTATCTCCTGTGTCTTCATCATCTCGCAGTCCTGTCGGTTCCTTGTGTTTTCTCTTTGTTCGAAACCCACTGATACGCTATGATTCGGCTTACTCACTCCACCATTGCTATTATTCACTTGTCACCAATCCAACCTTAACCATGTCACTCCATTCCATCTTCGTCTTCATATTTTTACTCTCTCCCTTCTCCATTCCTACTCCAGCTGACGCCATTTCATTTGTATCACCAATTCAAAAAGACAGTTCCACCCTCCTCTATTCCCTCACTCTCTTCCTCAAAACCCCACTCCAACCCACGCGCCTCCACCTCGACCTCGGCGCCCCCTTTACTTGGGTGGCCTGCGACTCCGGCTATAGTTCCTCCACTTACCAACACATTCCCTGCTTAACCCCTCTCTGCGATTCCCTCGGTCACAATCTCCCCTGCTCCATCTGTTTCAACACTCCAAGCCCCTCCTGCGCCAACAGCACCTGCTCCCTTTTCCCCGAAAACTCCGTCACTCGGAAAACCGCCATCTCCACGGCCTTATCCGACTCCCTCGCGTTGCCCACCTCAGACGGATCGACTCAAGGCCCACCGATCCTCCTTTCAAGTTACATTTTCTCGTGCTCTCCCACTTCACTTCTCGAGGGCCTAGCTAACAACGTGACTGGACTGGCGGCGTTCGGGAGGTCGAATTATTCGCTCCCGGCGCAGGTTAGCAACACCTTCTCTGTGCCTCGTTGTTTTGCGCTGTGTCTTCCCGGGTCCACGTCGGGTCCTGGCGTGGCTCTCATCGGGTCCGTCGGGCCTTACTATTTCTCCCCTCAAAAGATCGACCTATCCAAATCACTCGTTTACACTCCCCTTGTCTTGAACCCCGTCGGGAGCACCGTTGTACCCTACACCGGAGAACCGTCCGATGAGTATTACATCAACGTGACTGCCATCAACGTCAACGGCAAACCCATTCAGATCAATTCATCGTTATTAACCGTCGATGAGAACGGATTCGGCGGGACAAAGCTAAGCACTGCGGCGCCCTACACTATTTTGGAAACATCCATTTACAATGCACTAACCGAGGCGTTCGTGAACGAATCGTTGGCGTTGAACCTCACGGTAACCAATGCAGTGAAACCGTTCAGCGTATGTTATCTCGAGGCTGATATCATCGTAACACGCGTGGGACCGGGCGTCCCGACCGTCGATTTCGTGATGCAAAGCGAGGACGTGTTTTTGAGGGTGTTTGGGTCGAATTCAATGGTGAGGATCGCGGGAGACGGTGGGGATGTTTGGTGCTTAGGATTCGTGGATGGTGGGGTCAACCCGAGAACTTCGGTGGTTATGGGCGGACATCAGATGGAGGATAATTTGCTACAGTTTGATCTCGACAACAACAGATTAGGCTTCACTTCTTCTGTTCTGCTAAAGGGTACCACGTGCTCTAATTTCAACTTCGCTTCAGAAGGATAATTTGCACTTTTTTTCCGGATCAATTATGTTTTTTTTCAGTATAAAACTAAAAAAAATAGTGAATGATGTCCGGTTTAAAATTATTTAACGAATTAAGATAAATATATAATTTGATTATAAATTTGAGATAATTCATTAATCTTTATGTTTTTACTTTTTTTAGCTTAAAACAGCCAGCTTTATGTTTTTACTAATTTATCAATTAATAATATAGAAATGTTTATAAAACTCAAATATTGAGGCAATTATTCCAAAACATCATCGACATTTTCCCTAACAAATAAGGTCTAATTATGATGGAAAAATTACTTAAATAATATAGCGATAAAAATAATTGCTTATATAAAGGGAAATAAAAATTACTTTTTAAATTACAGTACTTATTTCACGATGATTTTCTCCTACCAGGTAAAATTGTCATGGAGTCCTGACAGTTTTCACCTAGCAAAGACCTTAATTTATAAAATAATTTATACTACTTTTGTATGAGCAAATTTTTTATCACTCTATTATTCAAGTAAAATTGTCAATTATGATGGTGTAAACTGACATTAAAAGGGATTTTATTGTAAAAAATTAAAGATAAACCAGAATTAAAGGCACAGACTATAGTGGAAAAGCTAGACCAGAAGAGTGCCTTCCATGGCTATGACAGCTTTTCCTCGCAGTAGCACTCGCTGATTCTTCTCATCTAAATAAACGCTTAGGATTCCACCTCTAGCTGATGCCTATACGCACACAGTCAATTCAATGAAAGGTAAACCAACAACGTATACTTGGATTTCAATGATTATGGTGCAAACCAGGGTTAATGTAGTACTTGATACGCCATGAGTTCACATTTCCCAAGCTTTTTGCTCCAATAGGGTGCCAAGGTGCAATGCGCACTCCCAGTCACAGGATCCTGATATATGTATTCATTCATGGCAATGAGATCCAAAAATCTATACATAGCATATGAAAGGGAGAATAAAGGACCTCATCTATGCCATTTCTCGGGAAGAAACATCGGCTAGCAAAATCAAACCCAGACTCCATAGGAGCAGCCCCTGAAACAATTACGCCTTCTGCACCATATTTACGTATGTCATCGATCTCTGGCTTTAATTCCATGACGGATTTTGCAGATGGGAGCACAACCTGCAAAATGCAATAACTTGGTATAACGATATCCACACCAAGAGTCCTAAGAGGAAGAAAAAGAAAAGAGAGCAATTACAAGAAAGTAATCATCTGGTTTTGCCCTCTTAATGTCGATAATATCGGCACCATTCAATGCTTTGGAGATTGCTGAAACCGAAATCGAAACCTCCGTAGGATCGAGTTCGGTGCAGGGAACTACAGGAAAATCCAACTCGACTGAGAAGCAATTCTGTGGATCTTCGGAGGCATCGATTGGTGAGTTGAAATCAGGAGCCTTCTTAGCAGTAAGAATACCGGCTAGTGTTTCGAATTCAATTATGGCTGAATTTACCAGGCCAGTTGTGAAAAGAGTGTACGCAGATGCTAATGTTGCATGTCCACAAAGCCTAACCTGCCAAAATCTGAGTCTTGATGATAAACAAAACAAGCTTCAATTAGAAATGAAGAAAAACTGACCTCAGTGACGGGAGTAAACCATCGAAGACGAAACCTGGGAGTTTGAGAATCGGAGCCATTAGTCCGAGTCAAGTAAGCAGTCTCGGAAAGATTAAACTCAGCGGCCACAGATTGTAACCACTGTTCATCTCTGTCTTCCTCCAGCAAACAGACTGCTGCTGGGTTTCCCTTGAAAGCCGAGTCGGTAAAGGCGTCAACCTGCTCATGATTTCAAAACTTTCCCCTCAAATTCACTCCATCGAAAACCAAACTACTTAAATTACAAATAGAGACAGAGAGATAATTTACCACATAGTATTTGACGGCCTTTTTAGCCATTTTGTTGGGATAACAAAGATCTGATGAACTTGGGATAGAGAGTTTTTGTTTCCCAAGAAGATGAATCAAAGCTGAAGACGAAAGCAATCAAGCTAAAACATTCACCTTTAAGAGGAAGACAAAAGGGGATGCTAGCTTTCCTGAGCTTCCACGAAAGGGGTTAGCAAAGGTTCTTTGTCGTTTCCTGGTTTTCATTGTATCATGGTTCAATGAATTTAATATAATTGAAGCATCGTAATTCATAGGGTACATTTCCTTGGTCAACTTTACCCTTTTTCTTTTCTCCTATTTTATTCATTATATTTTTAATTTTTTAATTTAATTACTAAATTTTTGAATTACTCTTTATCATTCTAGATTATTTTCTTATTATTTTTATATAAAGTGAAATATTTTATTATTATTTAATATAAAAATAATTTAAAATAAATAATAAAATATTTTTTTATTATTATTAAATTTAAAAATTCTTAAAATAATCACCACTCACCGTCGATCACTATTGAAATTTGAGATAATAATAAATTTTTTATATTAAATAATAATAAAAATACCATGCCATACAAAATAATAATAAAATAATTAAGAGTGATCAAAACAAAATTAATTCGAAAGTTCAGTTAGTAAATTAAAAAAATTAAAAATACAATGAGTAAAATAGAAGAAAATAAAATTCAGTGAAGATTAGTCTATTTTTCCCTAATTCATACCATATTTAACTTAGTTTTTTTCTTCTTCTAATTTCTTAAATTTGTATTATGCAATGTAAAGACTAGATAGGCTTCGGGAATTTAGTCAAAAGTTAGGTATATATGAAAGGAAAAAATGTAAAACAATCCTAATATTGTGTTTAACTGTTGCTTTTTATTATAGAAAAAAATTAATATCCTATTTAAAATTAAAAAAAAAGAGATCAAACCCAAAAAACAATCCTGAAGCCCATGAGCACTGATTTACGCAATAAAAAAAGAAACACTTTTAGATGTTAAGATTGAAAGTGTAATCAATCGCTTTCAAAAAATGAAAACACGAAAATGCCAACTCTAGAATATAATTTCTAGACATTTTATTATATTTATAGATATAGTAATTTTTAAAAAAATTTATAAGAATTTTTTTATAAAACCGCTAAATTTTTATCTTGAGTCTATCTCTGGTCTTCATCACGCATACGTTGTTTTTTTTTTTGGAGTTTAGAGTAGGACGATTTCTAGAGAATTTAGAGAGCATTTTTTTTAATGATATAAATTTTGTCATAAAATATTATTATAATAATAAAATATATGAAACCTATATACTAAAATATTTATCTGATTATATTTAGTACATATTAATTATTTTCTAAAATATAAGATACATAAAAATAATTATTTTTGTAGTCTACGAGGAAGGTTCATTTGACTCTTTCTATATAAGTTGCTAGACGAAAACACCCTCAAACAGAACCCTTAATCACAGTGGCATCCATTTCCTTAGCTGCGTAGTTCTCCTTGCCTTCCCAGCTTCCACCAGACTATATACATATATTGTGAACAACGAACACCAAAAATAGTTTATAAATCAGAAATTAAAATTTAGAAGAAAAAATACCGACGCATCAATCTCTCCTTTTCACTTTCTCCCCTCGTTCGCTCAATAAAGGTATGTTTTTCCCCTTAATTTTTCATGAATTTTCTTTTGATTTTGCCTTCTCAATGGTTAAATTCTCAATCTTTATCTGATTGTATGTATATTTTTTTTCTATGCTGCCAAAGAGATTCATCGTTTCATCATTCGTTTCTCCTTTTTGTTCATGTTAGAAATCCTTTGCGATTTTAATTATAATTTTCTTGTTATTATCCTTTAGAGAAATATGTGATTGTTTTATATAAAAAATGTTGGCTTACGCTGTCCTTCTAACTCCAAAATGGGCGTCAGGGTTTCTGTTTTAAGTTGATGTAATTCTATGATGCTCTCTTCCAATTAATTTTGTTTTAATCCTTAAGAATTCTTCTCATTGAATAATAAAAAATTTTGTCAATTGATGGTTATTTTTGCATGTAAACAAATCTTTGTTTGTTTTTTCCCCTTCAATTTGCGTGTTGCCATTTTCATAGTTTGCGTTTATTTTTACATGGTTACAATTACGATTTCTGTTTAGAATATTTTATTCATTGTTTATGATGTACATATTTTGTAAAATTTGTGGTTTTTCTGTTTGCAGGTTAATAGCTTTCCGGAATGGTATTCAATAAGGTTTATCAATGTTTGCTGGATATATTTCCGCAGGTATTTCTTTTGCTTATTTTTAATCCTTTTTTGTTCTCGTGGACGGGGTTGTAATGCAAAATGTTGTCTGACTGTGACCCCTTTTAAAGTTATTTAGAAATCATCTGGTTAAAGTTCAATTTGCTGTTTCAGCTTTAAATTTTCTTTATAATTTTCTAAATCGTAACTCTATGTTCCGAAGATATAACCAACATCCATTGAAAAATAGCTTTCTTACACCTTCTGCACAGGTTGATTCTCGTATTCTAAAAGCTGTTGCTATTGAGAACTCTAACGATGTTGATGCAGCGGCTGAGATTATTCTGTCTGAGATTATACCTGACCTTTCTAAAATAACTGCGGTTGCCATTTCTTCCTCACAGAACCAGAGTCCACACGTGCAACCAAATGAAGGTAGCTTTTTTCATGATTTAGCACTGGACTTGGTTTATTCTGCACCATGTTCAGGCTTCTTATGTTATTGGTTTTTTCAAAATCGTGAAATTTTGTGTACGATTTCGTTATTTATCTTTGTCTGGTCTATATTTTGGATTAGAGGATAAATGCCACTTCATATATGCATGTTATTAGTTGCATATTGGCTTTTATTCCTTGATCTATTGACCTGTTTAGTATCATAAATGGATTTTTGAAGATGCAGCTGCAGATGAGAAAGAAAGCAATCAGTTGAAGAGGCGAAAGGTATTGGTTGGAAAAAGATCATGCTCTTCTACAGAACCATTGCTGGAAACAAGTGAAGTTGTCAGAGAAACTTGTCTTACCAATGTTGCCAGTAATGCGGGTCCTCTTGAAGCACCAAAAGTCTCAGCTGGTTCAAAATTCCATGAGAACAATAATAATGAGGCTGCTGATGTTGAAACCGAGGAATTGATTTTGTTGGGGAATACTGAAATCCGGAAAGATAAATCTAGTTTATGCTTGAATGCATCAAAGGTTGATAATTCTCTACTATATACAAATCTTGAAACCGAGGAGTCGGGTTCTTCAAGTCGAGGCCCAACCACAGACATTGAAGATGTGTTTTCCTGGACTCCCCAGGTTTCACAATTCAACTCGGCTGATGATTCAACTTTGCTTTTGGAGATAGCTTGTAGTAGCGGCAGCTCCAATGATAAGTTAAATTTTGATGAACCCGTGAATTTGAATGGAGATTTGTGCAGAACCAGCTCATTAAATGGATCCATGGTAGGTGAAGAAAATTCTGCTGGTCTGGTGGTTCCATCATATTCTCCAGAACAATTTACAGAAGGCATGAGGACTGATCAGCATTTTGAAAGTGGTTCTGTGATTCACTCTATTCATTCTGAGAAACAAGAAAAAAGTTCTGTAGACTTTAAATCCCAGCAGGACTGCTTTGGTGACATGAGTGATATTGAGGATGATAGATTCAATCATGTTGTCATTAGATCTAATCAAACATGCAGAATCAATATACTTGAAGAGATCATTGAAGATGCTAAAAGTAACAAGGTACTTTTTGCTTCAAGCATTTTACCTTATTTTTGTTAATTTTATAGGCTGTTTGGGAATGAGAATGAATCCTATGTAATATTATCAATTCTACTGCTTAGTTTGTTATCATTCAAATTTTGCATGATTAATTAACTTAGTTTGAGGTTCTGATGTTTTTGCTTATATAATAAGCATTTTAATATGACAAATAGTTAATTGTTTCTTTTGATTGTATTTATGGAGGATGAATTCTTAACTTATCAGATTTTGGTGTAGAAAATTTTGTTTCAGACCATGGAGTCCATTATGAACCTGATGAAAGAAGTTGAACTCGAAGAGGCAGCTGCAGAACAAGCAAAAGAGGAAGCTGCAAGGGGGGACATGGAAATTCTCCTCAAGATGGAGGAACTTAAACAGATGCTGCCACATGCAAAGGAAGCAAATGACATGGTTGTGCACTTGTTAATGACTAGATCTTTTAGTTACCAATAAGAGAATGCATTTTGGTGATTCTTTAATTAGTATGAAAACTCATCCATTTGCTTATGTTTTGCAGCATGCTGGAGAAGTATATGGGGAGAAGGCAATCCTTGTCACTGAAGTAAAGGAGCTTGAAAATCGCTTACTCAGCTTATCAGATGAAAGAGATAAATCTCTTTCCATTCTTGATGAGGTAATCTTGGAACAAATTAGATTTGTCATCTAGTAGATAATTAGTATAAAATCTTATCTTCATATTATATGCTATGATATGGTGGGAATATGGAAAAGTGAAACTTTTTACGGAACAAACTCTGATCAGTTTTTTTCCATAAACCAAAATTTGAGTTAGTGTCTTAATCCTGAGATAATAAGCCATTGCTTGAAAGTTGAAACATAATCATGTCTGAATAAGTTGGTTAGTGGCTTGTGTTAGATAATCCGTGGGTTTTTAAGGTGTATTTAACAAGAACATGATATTGATATGAAAGGCTTTGAGTTTGTTGTATGTTCATTTAATACCTGTATACATTATTGACAGATGCGTCGAACCCTTGAAGCTCGGCAACTTGCTGTGCAGGAGTTGATGAGAGCAGCAGAGCAGGAAAAGCTGGAAAAAGAAGAATCTGCTCGTAATGCTCTTGCTGAACAAGAAGCCATTATGGCGGGGGTGGTTGAAGAGTCCAAGATTCTAAGGCAGGAGGCGGAAGGAAATTCCAAGGTAGCATTCAACTCTGTACTACTTTTGTGAGACTTGACAAAGCTTAAAGAGACTACATAGTTTTGACTTATGAAATCTATGTTCTTGCTTCACTGCAGTTACGTGAGTTTCTTATGGACTGCGGTCGAATTGTGGACACATTGCAGTAAGTTTTATTGCATGGTTATATATATTTTGATCCATTTGCATATGGAATTTTATCTTATTTTAGGTCTGATTTATGAGTCTGCGGAACATTGTTAACTGAGAGAAGTGGTACCTGTTAATTCCTGTTAGAAGTGTATCTGCTCTTTTGTTGGTTGTAATAAGAATGTGAACTGGTGATTGGCAAAATATATGATTGCTATATATATGATCGTCATGCCTCTGGTGTTGAGTATGATTTATTACCACAATGGATCATACATGCTAACATCGTTATTTGTTGTTTGTGAGGAACGGAATATCAAACGAACAATGGTTAACATTTCCTTTTAATCCTTTTGCAGGGGAGAAATTTCTGTTAGTTGTGAGGATATACGAGTGCTTAAACAGAGGTTTGATGAACGCATTCCATTAAGTAAATCAATATCCTCAAGCCAAAGCAGCTGCATCCTGGCCTCCTCCGGGTCATCTCTGAAAAGTGCGGCATCAGATCTTGGTTCCGGACAGTGGGAAACAGCTAAAACCCCAAAGAAAAGAAGCCTGACACCATCTGTTGATGGACAATCACCCAAAAGCAGATCATCGGATGAAAGAAACAAAGCTGATGGCAAAGAACTGTCAGATGATGGATGGGAAATTTTTGACAGAGAAGCTGAATTCTGAGCTGTACAGTGAAGCCATATTAACCAACGATGCATTGTAAGAATCCCCCCTGGTTATAAATATCATTTTGAAGACTGCATTTTTATTCTAATAACAATGTGTGACCGAGTACCTTGATCCCTTGATACAGTTTCCATTTCTTTAGCATATAACCATTTTTCTAGGAGCATACATTATTTATCTATTTGTGGCAAATACAAATGCACAAGTTTTGTTCTGCATTAAATATATAAATATTGAATGTGATCACTTCCTTTGAATACTGAAACTTATCTTTATCTTCGTTAATTTAGCTACCTGTAGTCAGTGCTGGACTGTTCTTGGGATTGATGGTTAATGACTTTATTCATCCTTAAAAATATGTGGAAGCTTATATAAATGGTTGTTGCAGTATGAAAAGGTAGCTGCAAACATTAATACCAAATTGTCGGGAAGATTTTATTGCATTAGTTGTACGGAGATTCATAGGAACGGTCAAGAAATTGGCAATTTATATATATATATATATATATATATATATATTCACAGGTATCTGATCTGACTTTTACAGGATGCGAATTTCAAAGACTCTTTTAGATATATCAGACATCATATTAGAAAATAGAAAATATGGTTAATGTTGATTCTGTCTGAAACACACACTGATGCTAATGATAAATTGGAAGAGGAAATGAACAGCTCAAATGCAGCAAAGGAAGAGTGTCGATAGTAAATGGTAGTGGATGCCATTGTATGAGCTTTTTCCAACACAGACGGAATGAAAAACAATAGTCAATAAACTAAAATAGAAGCATACGTTATGATGGGAATGAAGCCAACACTTGCATCTATATATTCTTATTATCATTTCTCTAATTCCCATTTCCCACTCTTTCACGCATCAACTCCCAACGCTTTCTTGATGTCGGCCTGTGGCAAGAAGCAAAGCAGCACATAATGAGTATGATTCTATTTTCACAACAAAATAAGATGCAAATCGATCGGCGTTATGATGGCTAATCCCGTAATCCGGTTTTGTATGTAATTAAGCTAATTGATTATCAGTTATGAAATTGAAACCAACTGTCTCATGCATAATTTAACTGTGAGATGCACCAAGATGGGAGGAGGGAGTACCTCAAAGGCCAATGGCGCGGTGTTGGGGCCATAGCGAGCAAGGACATTGCCATCCTTATCAACTAAAAACTTTGTGAAGTTCCACTTTATCCTCGTTCCCAAAAACCCAGATGTGTTTGATTTTAAGAACTTGTACACAGGTTGTCTTCGGACCATTGACATGAACCTATACAATAACAAAAATTTAGCAGCAATGCTAGAAAATGCAAGTCCTCAACATGTCCCTGGATGTTACTAGTAAGCTATAGCAGAAACCAAATCACCAGCGAATAACATAAAACTTACAGGCACGAATACAAAACCGAAAACAAAGACCGATGTTAGAGCAAAACTCAAGCAAATATAAGGGATCTCTATTCTTCATACAAGTAAAATATGTATCAGGGTTTTACCAGTAGTTTCCATATACAGGCAAAACAACCGCAACATCTTGTACAAACAACTCCCACCATCTATTGCTAGATGTAAGTCAATTACCTTTTGGAAAATGGGGTATTCAGCCTTGTATCTTGTACAAGCAAACTCCTGTGCCTCTTGACTGCTTCCAGGTTCCTGATTCAGAAACTGATTGCATGGGAATGCCAGGATCTCCAGTCCTTCAGCCATAAAATAATTAAAAACGCGTCTTCAAGTCTTTAGCATATCCAGGATGAAATTTGTAACCAATTTGACTAAATTTATGATTACAAAATCAAAATATATAGGGGTCTAATTCGCATATATAGATTTCTTCACAGAAGAACAGTTAAAAAAAGACAATTAACCTTGGTCCTTGTATTTGTTGTAAAGATCAGTCAACTGGGTGTAATTTGAATCTGTAAGCCCACTGTTCAAAAAAAGTCACAGTAAAATAAGGGAAAAAGAAGAAAAAGTTGAAGAAGAAAGTTGAGAGAAAATAGGGAGGGGGGGGGAACCATTTAGAGGCAACATTAACCACAAGGAGAACTTTTCCTTTGTACGTGCTAAAGTCAACGTCCTGATTTCTGTAATCCTGCAACACAAACAAAAAAAGTCAAAACCACCCAACATCAAAATCATTCACAGTGGAGCAAGAATGAACCTTGACTGTAAATTCATGGATTGATTTCTGAGGAACTGATTCAGAAGCTCCCATTCTTTTGCTTCCCAGATATTTTCCAACTTCGGGTCTTTTTTGTGTGCGTGTTAACTGCTTTGCGTTTTGTTGCTGTTTAGGCTTGAAGTGATTAGGTGGGTCTGCCAGGCTGGGGCAAATAGACCAGCAAGCAAACCTGATTTGTTTATGCAATGATAACGACGGTAATTATTAATGTACTTCCCGATTTGTTTATTGAGCTTTTATTTTTTAACAAGGAAATCTTCTGCAAGCAAAATTCCACCATAATCGTCAAAATAAATTTTAAAACTTAAAATACTAATTGGAGTTTTTTATGTTTCCTTTTTCCTTTAATGAGCTTAGGGATGGTAAACGGGCGGGTCGGGTGCGGATACTCCCTCCCCCATCCCCATACCCACTTAATATTTTTCAATCCACCACCCGCCCACCACTCATGATGGGTACAAATTTTCAAATTCACACCCGCCCACGCCGGTACATTTTCAAATCCATCCCCACACCCACTACCCACTAGAGACATACCCATCTAGACCCGCCTGACAGCAAACTAATGGGATGATGGAGTTTGTTCCCAGACAGTTCGTGATGGGGTAGTAGCGCATATTTCAATTTGTCAGAGGAGTGACTCTACGAATGTTATGGAGACAGATTGTATGGAGCATGTAGTCGCAGAGCTAGATTGTTGAGTTGCTTTCGATGTTAATGCTCATAGTGCGCCTAATATGAGTTTTGAGGGACTAAAGAACATGAAAACTGCTGCTTTTGATGTTAATGCTTATAGTACGGCTAATTTGTGTTTGTATGGGCAGCATGGGCTAAAGAACATGGAAAATGACTTGGTTAGTGGGATTATGAGTTTAATCAAAGAGCCGAATATTTCCCTAATTAAAGACCAGATTAAAGACTAAATATCTTTAATATTTGGTTAAATTATATGTTATATATTATACAATATTAAAATTTATAAATTAGTCTCTAAAATTACACCTAAATTCATTATGGTCCAAAATTTAATAGATATTTAGTTGGGCGGGCGGATGCGGGACGGGTAATGTCTCAAACCCATTACCCGCCCACCACCCACGACGGATACCACTTTATAAATCCACACCCGTCCACTACCCACTAAAATTATATCCATCCCCGCTCCAATTGGAGTGGATGCGGTGCGGAATCCACGAAACTGTACCCGTTTGCCATCCCTAAATGAGCTTATCGAATCGCGATGACCTGGTTTCTATCTTCATCCCCAGAAATCATGGAGCGTTTAAATGCATACTATCTTTTATTTTTTGAACAAAATTCTAAATGCATGGTATCTCTTGTAATAGAAATGCATACCTGGAATACCACTTCTCATATTAACCAAGAATGACAATTCTGAAATCATTTATACCAATCATTTTCTGTTCAAATACGCTCCAACCTAGTGGTCTCCGTGATAAAGAAATTATTAATATTTCTTGTGGATCCGAGTTCGAGTACTATAATAAACAGATACTACCTTGTAATTATCATAGATTAACAAAAAAAATCAAATACAAACTATGGTTTTTATTTGAATAATGATGACAGGCGTGAAGCTTTTGAATTTGCTTTTTTATAACTTAGTTTTTGTCCTCAATCTTTTAAAGAATTAAAACTCAGTAATTCACTTTTTAAAAAGATTAATAATATTAATATAACAATGTGCATTATAATTTTTACATATTTTATAGTGCTTTTATTTTTAATAGTTTTTAAATTTTTTATTTACCTAACTTATATAATAATTAGCATCATATCAACATAAACTATCACGCATTTTATTATTCCAACAAATTCAGTGTTTTATCAACATTCCCTTGATTTATTTTCTATTTAAAAAACAAAATTGATAAGGTTTTTCATTAATAAATTTATTTCTTATTATTTATATTTGTCATTTTTTAATATACATATATATTAATATATTTTTTATTAGTATTTACACTTTTCTCACCTTCATAAATTTTTTTGTTAATTTAGTTTTCACTATTAGTTTAGACAAATTTGGTCCTAAATATTCGAAAAGGAGTTGAATTAATTTCCCACTTATTAATCAAACTACCTTAAAATAAATTAATAATGATTTCTGATTTTAATTAAACTAAATAAATATAAGCGAAACTTGATCCAAACTCAAGTTATTTATTTTCTGGAAAATAAGATTATTTACGAGATTTGTGCTCCACACGTTATGCATTTGTTTGCATGTACAAAGACAATTTTCAGTTTGTCTTTTTACCACAATGATGAACACTACTTTGGGATTCTCAATGCATACAAGTGGGTGAAGGATTCAGAGTTGGTTCACATCCATTAAATATATATTATCTGCCAATATCAACATCATCATCAAATACTGTTTACAGACCAAAATGGGGTTCTAAAACATATAATTATGAAACTACCAAAACAGATCGATTGCTATGTAATGTGGGGAGGGGGTTACTAATGCTATAATGTTCCTATAAGGGCGTTTCTGAAATAAATTATGCAAAAATAATAATAAAATTTTAGATACATTGACCTTTGGTAAGCCAAGAGTTAGGGAGTTAAGTTCACACTTCTCAGCCCTGACCTCAGTCCCCTATCTGTCTGTCTATCTATCTTCCGGTAGAGATGATAGAATACATACATTTACAAAAACCAGCGTTGCCATTGCCAACATGCTGACCTTCGTTTCCCAACTCGAATCTCATTTACCACTTCTTTCCTTCCTTTGCAAACAATATATATCCTCCAACAACTCTTTTCAACATCCTGTGCCATTTGAAACCATATCAAAAGCAAAAAATAAAAAAGGGTTGCAAGTAATCAACCCAGAATTTATTGAGAGAGCATTAGATTCAAAATGAAAACTAATCACAATAACCTACCAATTAAT